TAATCTAATTCCTATCTATACCAAAAAAAAATAGTAATAATAACCATTGCTGTCTTAAAACGGAGTTACGCAAAGGTCTTCTTCGGTCCTACAGGTTGTCGGAATGGAAAAAAGTAAAGTATATGCGACAATAACATAAATAGAAGGACCTAGCGCCCATAGATGACGTTGTCGTCGTCTTCCACCCAGTACTGCACAATGTGGTTGATAAAGGGGGTAAATACTACATGTATACGTCCTAAGGGCTGAGGACCAGCTATTCTTTATAAAAAACACAAACAAATTCGAAAAAGGCCAAAAAAAAGGAGGGATATTCGGATGCATTTATTATACTATCCTGTGTTATGATAATATATAATATTTTTTTAAGTAGCGGACGGTGTCCACATCCGTAATCTTTCGCTTTAGCTAAACTGTTGTTGTAAAATATAGACTTCTTGCCTTTCCTCCGTTTACGCACAACACGCGTCAAGCCTTTATGCAGGTAGCTTTTGCCTTCTTGTTTTAGGGTTTGCCGTTCGCAGCAATAATATTAAACAATTCGTTACTCGATTAATATTGATAAAGTTGTTAAGATGTTTATAAGGCGCTTTATTAAGTACAAATAATTATGTAGTAAAATAAAATAATTATAATTATAGGTTCATACTCCCTTTCTATTAATTAACTTTCAAAACAAAGAATTCGTAAAATAATAATTATTAAATATTTGTACCAAATAATTGCAGTAGAATAGGAGTAAAATTGTAAAAAATTATTTTTTAAAAAGTTTCCACCGGCAAAAGTATAGTAGGTTTGTTCTTTTCATTATGATTTATGACTATAATATTTTATGTAATATTTATATATAGGAGGATTATGACAGTTAAAAAAAATTCCTTCAAACGGTTTTTGAACGAAACATAAAATCTATTATTAGATATTGATAATTTAGTGTAACTACAGAATATTTGATTTAAAACAAAAAGTATAAAAAATAAAACTACTTGATTGCAGGCTATAATGTCTAATATTAATAACTAATGTGCAAATATATAATTTGTATTATGTACATGTAACATCAACTTGATTGTCAAAATAGTATGTATATGTGTAAAATACAATAGAAAAATGTATAAAAAAAATGCAAAAAAATCAACCAAATTTGATTGTGTAACGAGGCTCCGGGGAGATTCGAACTCCCGATCTCCTGTTTACTAGACAGGCGCTTTAACCAACTAAGCCACGGCGCCATGTTGACCAAGGCATCGACATTTTGGTTTTATAAGCACCTCCCGTAAACGCTTCTTATAATATTTACTTGTATTTCCTAATTAAGATTAAAACAAACAATTCTTTGTTAGAACGGTAAAAATTACAATTCTATAACAGTTCTTTTATCATTAAATTAATAAAATATAAAAATTAAATCCACCTAAACACACGTTAATAAACTGTAGCCATTAATACCGGCCCATTATTATAGGCGCTAAAAAAATTAAAAATAGGTTTTTTTACAACATACTTATTGCAGTAAGTAATATTTGTTCAGTTATACTAATATAGCGGGGGTTTTTTTTTAGTACAATTTGCAAAATATAATATTTTAGGCAATATTATTTAGTTATTAAAATAGGTATTATAGTGAATATTATTATTCCTGTATGCATATTATTTCAAATGATTTTTAAACGGAACATAATATAACGACAGTTACAATAACATCATTAAGCTGAATAATGATTACATTTTAATAAACTTCTTTTATGTACACAGAGAGTAAACTGAACAAATATTACCTACAGCTATAAGTATTGTTGAGTTATGAACAAACATATTTTTAAGCACAATAACTTGCCGGTATTCCGCATATATTTTGCGGTTACGTTTATGTGGATTTGTATTAGGTACTTTCGTTCTAACAAGGAACTTAAACTTAAGTAGGCAATACATTTACGAGAGGTGCTTATAAAACCAAAATGTCGATGGCGTTGTCATGAATGGCGCCGTGGCTTAGTTGGTTAAAGCGCCTGTCTAGTAAACAGGAGATCGGGAGTTCGAATCTCCCCGGAGCCTCAGCTATACAATCACAGCGGTTGATTTTTTTGCATTTTTTTACACCTTTTTGTTGTTATATTATGCACACCTTTTTTACATTTAGATTGTCAAATCTAGATTTTACATTTAGAACATTGTTGATTGTACATTATAAAAATGATATTATAAATTATTGCATATTAGTTATCTGTTATTGATTGGCAATCGCCCCCCCCCCACCCCGAGATATATTTATCAATCATATTTTATGTTTGTTGAACTTATAAGCGTTTCTAAATTTAATCAATAAATAAATTTTTTTTTTTCACAAGAAATGTTCGTTATTGTTTTTTGAAGATACTCGTGTTGATAACAGATAACATTATGATTACGGCCCACGGGGTATTATATCGCCTTTGTTTTTCGCTCCGTGCCTCCGCGGTCGTTAAATGTTCATGATGTCATTGGTAGATTTGCAAATATTAAAAAAAGAATTATAGATCTTAATATTTTGTAAATATCAAATTGTTCTATCAAATGTCTACAATTTTTGTTTTGAAGGAAGGGGGGTTGACCTCTCTTAATTAATATCGCCCCCCCTGAGGTGAAGTCTCAAATACGCCACTGCTACCTCAAGACCTTTCATAAATAAAGTATTATGTGGATACACTAAATAATCAACATCTGTCAGCAGTTATAGTAGTAGTTTTCAATATAATATTTTATGAATATATTATTTTAGGTAATATTATTAGTTAAAAAAAAAATTCCTACCTCATAGGAATATTAATTTCAACGGGTTTTAAACGAAACATAAAATATATTATTATTTATTAGATATCGATAATTTAGTGTAACCACGGAATATTTTATTAAAAAAAAAAAAAAAGTGTAAAAAATAAAACTACTTGATTGCAGGCTATAATGTCTAATATTAATAACCAATGTGCAATAGTACAATTTTTATTATGTACAATGTAACATCAACTAAACGTATATGTGTAATATACTAGTATATGTGAAAAAAAAAAAAAAAAGTATAAAAAAAAATTGCAAAAAAATCAACCGTGTTTGATTGTGTAGCGAGGCTCCGGGGAGATTCGAACTCCCGATCTCCTGTTTACTAGACAGGCGCTTTAACCAACTAAGCCACGGCGCCGTTGTGGAATATAGGAAAATATTTGCCCTCTTAACGCGTGACATACCAATAGGTAGCAGTTATTTAATTTTAATTTTATTATTAATATTTGTGTTTTAAAAATTAAAGGTAAAAACGCTTATGATTTGCAAATAATAATCCAATACAATTATTCAAATAGCTTCTAAATAAACAATTACCTATATTATATCGTATTTAATAGTAATTAAGAAAACATTGTTTTATTACTACAAGGTAATTTAAAAAAAAAATAATATTATAGATATTTTTACAAACAATAATAAAAAAAGTAGTGACAGGTGCGGATCCAAGGGCAAAGGCCCATCCCCCAAAAAAAAATCCTAAAAAAAACTTCGTAAATTAATTTATAATATTAATCATTTTAATAACACAATTAAAATAATTTCAAACCAATACAGCAGCTTATTAAACAGTTCTTCTTATATTACTATTTAATCTAAATTGGAAGGAGAGCTCAAACTTGTATAAAGTTCTTTAATGATTAAATCTTGTGTTTAAAAATATAACTTCTCTCATGAAACATTTGTGAAACATTAAATTATTTTTATTCAGATTAATATTTAATAGATCATATATTAAAATCCTAGTGATTTCTGTCGCAACAGCAGAAATAAGTTCTTTATCTTTACGACTTTACGGCTACTTAAAAATTAATTAAGGGCAAGAATAGAAGATGAAAGGTTAACTCAGTTATCTGTTATGTATATAAAGATAATTGATAGTAAAAATAACATTTCAAATATTATTGATAGGTTTAAGAAATAAAAAGAAAATTTGATTTTGTTTTAGACATATATAGGTAGATGCTTTTTTTATTTTTAAAACTAAAATATTATTGTATTGTATTATACAAATTAACTATTTTATATATTATAATTAATTAATGTACAATTGTAAAATTATTTTTTGAATTTGTGTTAATATGATATATTATTATTAATAAGACAAGATTGTTTTGTAAACTGTTGTGTATTTACTTGTGTTAGGTAGAAACTAATAACCTCATATTTCAAGTAATTTTAGACTTAATTAAATGTAAATTATTTTATGTTGGTATAATTAATAAGTTTTAGTTACATATTAAATTATGATAATTTTTAATATGTTCATGGTATAATAATTTAAGATTATGGAGATTTAATTCATTGTCCATCGATGAATGTTAACGATGGCTTTTTACATGATATTGTTCTATTTTATCTAGATTTACACTGTACGGTACAACAATTTGGCTAATAAAATAATATGTTTAAAGTTTAAACTAAAAATAATACTAGAATATATGTAATAATGCTATAATATAAAATATGTAATAATAAATGAACAATTGTTGGTAAAATATAATATGTTCATAACAAAAACAAGAAATGTGCGTGTTTTGCTTGAATGTATCCTTATATAAGTTCTAATTTCGCCGTTGTGACACAACGGCGCTGTGGCTTAGTTGGTTAAAGCGCCTGTCTAGTAAACAGGAGATCGAGAGTTCGAATCTCTCCAGTGCCTTTTGACGGTCGCGCTTTTTTTGCACTTTTTTCCTTGTTTTTTTCATCATTTTCCTGAAGCTACGTCAATAGAATTATGTTTCAGTATCATATACTTTCGTAAATGCGCATTAAACCGTTTTTTATTTATAATAACTACTTATTTGTTCCATTAATCATTAAACTAACAGGATATAATATTATTGGAACTGAAAATATATTTTCTAAGTGAAATTTTAACAAAATTTTATTACATGAATTCGACGCTCGAAAATTATTTAAACTCCTTACAGACGTTCAAATATATTTATTTAAAAACTTACCTGTTAAATTTTCACGTGTGTGGATTTTTTATGTATTAACAAAGTCCTTTATTTGTGAACCTGAAACAAACAAAAATAACTTTAACATACAATTTTTCATGAACAAAAATCATTGTAAAGGCAATATTGAGCTCATATATGTTTTTTAATTTCTCTTATATAGCAACGCCTTACAAACGTGTACAGCAATATGCACTTTTTTTTTAATAAGAAATTTATTTCAGATTTACAACTATTACACGATTTTGGTTATTCATGGATTTCATGGTTAATTTATTGGTCTCTAACATAACATAATATACATACAACATAATATATTGTGAATGTAGTTTTTAAAACCGTCCTAGATTCATGTGCCTTGTGGTAAAGATGTCATACTGATAAAATAGTAGATAGTACATCTAAAAGAGATCAAAACAAGAAGAAGTATAACAAGAGTATATAGCTTATTGTTAAAAATTATTTTACGGACATAATAATGGACCAAAGGGGGAAAAAGCCGTACAATTCCTAATTATCGGTTATCCTACTTTATTATTTTTTTGTCTCACAACGCATTGACAGGTGTTTGTTCACGCCAAGGGATAATCCTATCGACACATAAAGGACTGTAAAATATATAAGACATATTATGTGTAATGTTTTTCAGCAAAATGGAAGTATCCTCGTTTCCCGGAAAACCGATTTGTAACACAAAAGAAAGAAAAAAAAGACTATTACCGAGAGGAAACAGTGGGAAAACACAGTATGATGGAAACTAATACGCAGACCTCTACCCAGCGTGGGCGATAATGTTTCTGTAAATTAATACCGGCAGTCTCCCCTTTTTCGTATAATATACTCGCCGGTAAACGCTTAAGTAGTAGCATATACTATATATATATATATGAGTAAGGACTAAGGCAATTTACTTTATGGCGACCTAAGACAGCCAAAAGCGCTCGGGTGATTAACTACCGCCATAATACCTGGAATGATTATTCTCATTAGACAATTTCGATAATAAATTCTTTGGAACTTCGCGTTGTGAGTGTTATACTCTTGACAAAAGCACTTGGGGTATCTAGTGTATAAAAAAAAGACACCCTGTACACAACTTATGGCGTGTAATACACCGAGAAAGCAAAACTGGATTTCATTATACGCATAATATCGCACAACAACATAATATTTGTCTAGGTGACATTTTGCAACACGATCCGAGGGTAAATTCGCAAAATTAAATTCATCCAATTTGGTTCCAACGCGCATTTGATTGTTCTTTTATGTCACGTGCTAAGAAAAGGTACCTTACAAAAACCATATTACACTCTTTGTAATACGTCCCTCGCAGTTACACGTTATGAGACGATTTATTATGTTGGGCGATTGAATTTTTACATTATATCATAGCAGCCGGGTCTTAGCACACGTTAACCGCCACTATTTGTTTTTTTTTTTAGCCAGCCTGCACTCGCGACCCCCCTTTTGTGTGTACCTGATCGTCTGACGGTTTATTGATGTTTTCTTAGAGAAAATGGAAATTTTCGAACACCGTCAAGTAGGGGATAATCTCATTGGAAAACATACGACTGCTCCGACGTTTACAGGAGGGTTCGCAGTTCGCCTACAACAAGGCACGTAGACCTCACACGAGAGTAGGTGGAGGACAGAAGGTTGAAATAATATAAACTGAAGGGGGAGATGCGGTCGTCGGATAATACAAGAGCGACTGTTTTTTAAGAGGGAGCCAACATCGACCAAGTGTGGTCGAAGGTGCTCGTGGAGTCCTTTTGGGATCTTCCGACCTCCAGCAACACCGGCCACATATTATAGTGTTGGCTTTTGATATTACCACCCATGTGTGTAGAGGTACACGGTTGACGAAGACTCGATAATTTCATTAATTTTTTTTGGACGGGAACATTATGTAAACTCTTCAAACGCGTTTGGTAATTACAGTGTACTCGACTTTTTCTTTATAATAATATTACTGTCGCCGAAATGTTAATTGAAAATACAATTATTTATTACCGCGGTGAAGTGTGCCAGAGAAAACTCTGGTCTGCCCCGGGTTCGTGTTTCGGGAATTGTGTGTGTTGTTACAAAAAACAGCATTACAATAATAATTATAAAACGTTTCCGGTATCGAAATCCGTCACCTTGCTTACTCAATCTGAACTTAAAAATGTAAAACGCAGTGACTTGATAACGAAATGTATTTTTTTTTTTTTTTTTACTTGCGCACAGCTCCGTTTTGCTCGATCGACCACGGACAACGGTTGGATTTAATTTCAAACAAAGAGCACTCCAAACGTGATGCTGAGAAGTTTGGCGAACCGTTGAAGTAACGCCCTCTCTCGTATGAACCGCACAGGGGAAACATTAAGCCGCTGCAATAGGAGACGTTACACCGCGGACTTGTAGGGATAATAAATAATTTATAACGTTTCCGTGTTTGTCGATAAATCATTGGCGCCGCCGTCTTGAGTTCCTAATGTGTCGTAAGTTTATGTATTTACTTTGGTTGATTTTGACTTAGTGTCGAACAGCGGTAGGTACACGTACTCAAGTCTGCGACATACACACACAGTAACTTCCTACACCACATAATATTGTACCAAACGAACCGAATTCACGTTGGCGGACTTCATACAACACACACACGTTGTGTACTTTTGTTATTTGTTTATGAACAAACCGTCATCAGGTTTATCCTCATCTACAACCTCTTACATTTTACCTTATCACATCCCAAGGAACTAAGCATAGAAGGCTCGACGTTTTGTTAGCCCGTCATTGTATATTTTTAACGAACCATTAATCCAATTTACGCCCAGCGTCCTGTACCTAGTGTCTGTATCGACATTGTATACATAACCTAACCTACCCGGCAAACTAAAACAAATTTATCGATCCAACTAAAACTATCGTTATTGTTACTGATGCGATTCAAAGAAAATCAACGTGACTACCGCAGGTTTTCTGTGCCAGCGTCGTACTCAAAATCGAATACTACCAGATAGATGACGGTAACACGGCTATTTATATGTGACTTACAAATTGTATAATTAAATTAAAGCGAAAATCGCACGTCTACAGGCGACGGCGACGACAATGACGACGATAATGACGACGGTGTCAGGTTGTCGACGACAACCCGGCAATACTTTGCTGGATGCATGTTCTAATAAGCGACTCTATACGGGCATGGTGTGTAGTCTTAATTAAATTTCGAACAACCGGCGAGCGAACTTAGACCGAGCGTATAATTGACGATTCGCCGAGACAGTGTATAATCCTATACACAGCTCATCACACGTGTGTACAAAACTGCGGGTATGACCGATTTTGCAAATTCACCGACGCGCCTAAGAGCTTTTCTATAATATTATATTGTTATTATGTCGAGTATAATAACATTACAACCTAACCGATATAGGGGCCAAAGTTTCCCCGCTATGGAAAATTTCAACGTTCATGTGGAGCGGCCAAATTTAAATGAAAAAAGTTGAGCACCACTCCACCCATCCCCTTGTCCGCCAGTTACTCATCAAAACATTTTATCCCTGACGTCGGCTGTTTTTGTGGGCAGCGCGGCAAACTTTCGCATCTCTCCGGTGTTACAACATACCGAGACCGCCCCTCAAAAACCCAAAATGATAAATGAAAAACACCGCACAAAAGTTCCCGCGCTGTATATATATATATATATACATAGTTTCAGACATGACAGCATTATTCTTCATTTCCGACAAAAAAGTAATAATCCCCTCGTCCCGTCATAACACTAGTATACCCGTGTTTACGTCCGGCGACCTATCTACCTGTACATTCTGCAGAATGTCTCTCATAAGACATATTGTTACACTTTTGGTGTACAGTTAAAAAATAAAAATGTAATAACACTTGTACGAACGCAAAATACAATACGGAGGTCTCGAGCTCGTACTTGACCTATTACCATTTTAGTAGGTAACAACCAAATCAAATAGATATGATCTATTACGGTCTGTAATATAGGATCTGTCTTATCTATTATATGGTATTGTCTCTAGTTACGCCACTGGATATGATACCAGGCCCCGGACACTGATATGAACTATCACGGGGAAGATACTTATCACACAAAAACACGGCGGCTATGAAGAGCGAGTTTTTGTCGTCCAACGATTAATGATAATAATTATAGACACTGTTTGTTTTCAAAAGTATGTGTTGGATCGCGACTTGACTTGCCGATTCACAGAGTAATATTCTCCGTTCAACCGCTTGTACAAGCTCTTGCGTTTAAATGTACAGTTAAGTTTGTAAAAATAACAATAATGATAATATAATGATGTACCGGCAAAAGCAGTGCACGAGCACGCTGTGTCATCGATTTTTTCCACACGATTCCCTGCAGCCTACTCGTTTGAGCTTTGCCGACGTGCGTTAAAAAAAAAAAAAAAACCTGTCAAATAGTAAGATTCAATTTGTCAAAACCATCGGCGGTTTTTTAGTATTTTTTTTTTTTGCAGATACTCTCATATCGGTTGTGTTGACGACAATTACTTGTCCACGCGTGCGAGACTTTTCGTCGGATCATATTGTAATCCAAGTACACCAATAAACAACGCAGGACCAGATCGACCTACGCGGTACAGGTAACAGGGCCACTCCGCCGAAGAAGAAAAGCAAATCAAATACTGAAGACGTCCATTATGTTTCTTATTAAATGTACTTCCAATATATTATGACATTGAACAGTGGCGGCTATCTTGCAAAATAATGGTGTATCAATTTTAAAGCCATAAACCACCCACCCACCCTAACACAAAATTCTAAGGACTATTAGGTATTTAATATGTGCAGTACACATTCATAATACAAATATATTATTATTTAATTCTATAATTGTATGACTTTATACAAGTCACTCATTCACCATGACTACCCACCCAATTTGAAAGGTGTATCGACGGATACACCTTTAGTATAGGATAGCCGCCACTGATATTGAACAGCTCTAAGGCCCTATATCAGATGGCGGATGCGTGTTATGTACGTCGCACACTGTCCCGACGGCCTCGTTAAACATT